CTCTCTCTCTCTCTCTCTCTCTCTCTCTCTCTCTCTCTCTCTGCTCCGGTAAAATACAACTGCGCCGTTGATATGAAAATACTGCAATATGTATTTCGAAGGACAAGTGTAGTACCGCAGTCGACGTACAGATTGATTTTATTTTGACGATAAGAAATCGTCTTGCCCTTGAGTGTTGTTAAGAAGTCGACTGATATACAGGCCAATAATTTATTCTTCGTGCATTGAGATATATTGTCGGATATATCCGAGAAGCGGTCTATCGAGAGAAGATAATTTCTAAACGGTGTAATTTTCGATATTTGTTATTCCAATGGCACTGGCAGGACCCGATTTGCCGCAAGTTCCGAATCCTCTGAAATCTATTCAGAAATATTTAACTGTCGCGTCGAAGCACGACCAGCGAGATAATGTTGTCAGTTATTGGTGTAAGTACATAATATACATTTAAATCATGGTTCTAAAGATTGTAGAAATATCTCGGTAATGACACGGTGAAAAAAAAAACAAATGTATTTTCTAATTAAAAGTTTAACATGCCTTGTCTTTTATTTCTAAGGGCCGGTTGTTCCAACCTGTAAAGCTAAAGCTAACCAATAGTTAAATCATTGCCTATCTTTATTTAATGTAAAGGATAAACAAAGACATATATATGATCTATTAGTTAGCTTACCAACAGGTTGGAACAACCGGCCCTAAGAGAGACAAAGAGTTAATTAAAATTTACGTACAAAAAACAGGTCGCCTGTATGCTCTTCAAACTGGATTGAAGTTGTCCACCAAGACATCGGCGGAGACTAATTTTCTGTTGAAGTTGATGGACTGGTTGGAAGCAAGGAAGAAAGAACTGCACGACAACGAAGCTATTACTAACGACGTGGCCGCTCAAGCGCATTTAGAAAATTGGGCCCTGAAGCTATTTTTGTATGCCGATAAGAACGATAGGGCTGGAAATTTCTCCAAGAACGTACTGCAGAGCTTTTATACCGCTCAGATATTGTACGACGTGTTGACGCTGTTTGGAGAATTGAGCGTGGAAGCGGGACAAAATCGGAAGTACGCTCAATGGAAAGCAGCTTATCTCAACAATTGCTTCACAAATGGAGAAACTCCGGTGCCGGGGCCAATGAAAGAAGCAGATGATGACAGTACTTCTGTTAATGCGTCGAATGACAACGATGGTAAATATTGTGTGTTTGTCCTCACAAATTTGTCAAATTCTAATGAACATTTTATGACCATCAGATGAGCCCGAATCAAGTGTAAATCCTGGAAGTCCTGAAAGTCCTAAGGATAATACTTCGCTAGACATTCCGTCTGTTCCTGCAAATCCGCCAACTACAAGAATGCAGTTGTTTGACTCAAAAGATGATGATAAGTATAAAACAGAAGGTAAGTCCTGTGATGTAAATTGATATTCACAAATGAGATAAAATGAATAAGTCTGAGAACACAATAATGTGTTATAATCATTTTATCTCGAACATAATACAATTTTCTAGGTGGTGCCAAGTTGACGGTTGAACAAATTAGCAAGGTTCAAAAAATGATCAAATGGGCAAGCAGTGCATTGGATTATGATGATGTAGCTACTTCTGTAATGAATCTTCGGAAAGCTCTGCATCTTTTAACTACTGGTCAGGAATCCGCTTAGATGAAATGGACAGAAAGTACGTTCAGTAATGTCTTACTTATAATTAATTATGTTGAATATCAAAATCAACAGACATCAAGCCTGTATCGCGCATATTGCCCAGTAAAAGATATTTTATTAATATTTCGCATCTTTTGGGTACGAATAATAGAAGAATAAGAGGCATGGTTACAATTAACTAGTCAAATCAACCTCTGCATATGGTGCACTTAAAAATAGAAATTGTTGCAGTGTTTTCCAGATTGTAACTATTGCTGTCCAAGATGAAAGATGTATAGTTATGGAGTTTCATTGTATTTATTGAAACTATAAGAGTATTAATATTCATTTTAATAAGCTTTAGCATCGCTATTTTGTTTTCCAAATAATTTTTTAGAATATTATTAATGAGACATTTTTGCGAGAAATCATTGTTATTTTACTAAATAAATAATGAAAAATGAACATGTAAATGGTACAAATTAGTTATTTTGGAATTGAAAAATCTTGAATTAGATTATTTTAAGATAAATGGCTTATGTAATTTTTTTTAAATAGTGTATAATTGCTTTTACACTAGCAAGCTTTTACACAAGCTTTAGGATTTAATAATAATGGTATTGATAAACAAACTTGCAACAAAACTAGTTGTATTTTATTTCATATGATATGAACATCTAACGTCTCGTACATATTTTTTATATAAACAATACTAAATGAGATAATACATCAAAATGTGTGCGTATTAATCTTTTTCTGACAAAAAATCTTAAACATTTCTATTGGATTTTTATTAACCAATAGATATAAACCGTTTATATTGAAACAATTTATATAAAAAAAAGTTTAAATAAATATATTTCTGATACATTTAAACGATGTACATGTTTTTATGTCAGTCTTTACATATAAATGAAAGGAGACCGATATGATTGTTTTTAATAAAAATAACTGAAATCTTTTCAAGAGACATAAATGTTTCAATTTATAAAAATTATATTATGACTGTTATACATAACAAAATATCGCTTCAAATATTTTTAAAACACGTAAAGCATTCCATAAATTGTTGCCGTGGCTCAAAATCAGAATATTATTAGACATGAAAACAACTATCAAATTGGGTATCAAATAATAATTAGAGAAAAGTCTCTGAGTTTCACAATTTTGGTTTATTTATCAAATTGTCCGATCACACTCGTTATTCGCACGTGGAGATTTTAAGAAATAAATTTAAAGCTAGTGCGCACATATGTATCAATTACTAAGAAACATTTTCTATATGTTCCATACACACACACTCGCACGGTACATATAAGAGCACATTCATTCAAGTGGCAGTTAGTACCTCGTGCTTAAGCTAGTGTCATTGAGGATTGGTCGCATCAATGTCGATTAGTATTACGCGTAGCAGATTAAATTTCTTTCTCTGTTTACATTACAGCTCGTTTATAATTATAGCCTCTTATGATTATATATCATAGTTCTTCATATTATACATTTATTTATATTGTAGCTGTTTAATAAGAGTATCTCTAATATTTAGTATTTAACTAATTATATTATAGTTTCCTATATATATTTATTTTATATAGCTGCTTATATTACAACTGTATGTCTTATATTATTAATTATATAGCTGTCGCGTGTGATAGCCATTATGTTACGATTTTATAAAGGACTACAAGAGACAAAGGCCCGTATTCTGAACGCACATTTATTGATAAATACACATATTTACTTTTGAGATGCTATAGTTCACGTTACATATACTATAACATCTCAGAAATAAATGCGCGCATTTATCGATAAAAGTGCGTTCAGAAAACGGCCAATCAACTATCGACCAAACTTATTTATTTTTAAAATTAATTTCACTGATATAGTTTATTTATTATTAGCGATATTTAGTCTCTTTTTGCATCATTGTCTTAACTGTTATATAAATAGAGAGAGATAATTTCTTTGATCATGACCAGCGACAATCGACATTAATGCAACGGACTGATATTGCGGGACGAACTATTACAAATTTAATCCAGAGAATCCCAAATCATCGTTTTCTTTTTTCCTACATATTACAAAGTTTTTGTATTGCATATCGAATCTTTATACATAAAAAGAATCCGGAAAGATATATTGAATAACGGTGCTTTGAGATAAAAATTTCATTTTTGAAAGAATGAGAACGAGAGAGTCTACGTTTGAAATAAATAAACTAATATTCCTCAGAATCAGTGTTCCAGAAATGAAATCGCGGAATCAAGTGGTTTGAAGTGAAAACAGACAACGCGTTTTCCAACCGTAATCCCGCTCAGTCTTGCTTCTTAGCTTTATCGTCGACACCGTTCGCCGTCACCGATTGCGCGTCTTCTCGCCTGAGCTGCCAGTCGATCACCAGTCGCCCCGTGAGCATGAAGAAGAATACCTAAAACCAATTTCCCAATTTACAGTTACAGCGAAACGCATGACGATAACGTTGATTAATCACTACTCACCAGTGCCGGGGCGATCCTCTCGAATTTGTCGTTTACCATGTAGTGAGAATACACGGCCATCAGCATCAAGAGAAGCAGTACTGTGTTCGATAAGTTTTTAACTTTGTCTGAAAGCAATTTACAGATGATTACTACAATGGACCAGCTCCGTTTATCGAATACGGCAATTTCTATGGTGCGGCGAATAAAGCTAAGAATTTGTGCGGGATAATAAAGTGCGAGAAGGGTCAGTGTGCGGAATCTGCGGAAATAGAAATTGATCGAATACGAATCTCTATAAAAATTAGCATTTAATATCTATTTAAGGACTTGGGTGTGCAATCAAAGACCGTAAAACGTTTGTGATAGTAAATGTCTATGATAAAACAATCTCTGACGTCAAGAATTGATGGGATTGGCGATACGGTATTACAAAATTGAGAATTTGCAAAACTGATAATTCAGCAGAACAGGTTGTTGCGAAAGGAGGCTATTACGATCAAAGAAGGTGGTTGGTCTTTTGCACCTACGACTTGGAATAATCGCCATGGCGAGCCCGCAGATGATCTCGAGCGAGCCGACGACTCTTCGATACCACTTGCTGGGTACCTTGAAGTCAAGCGTTCCCGAGAGCGGGAATACTTTTGCATACTTGACATATTCCTTTCTCTGAAACAAAAAAAAAACATTAAAATCCTAATAGCCTTCATCATTGAAAATAATAGAAAATAAAAAAAATGAGACTATACTTCATTATATTTATTTATTTACTTAATTATATGTCTAGAATTAAATGCATAAGGAATATATAATATTCGCTGATAGATGAATTTAACATGTGTCGCGATATCTCTTGTCAAAAATTTAAATAATTGTTCCTTTAAGAAAAATACTAAAAGTAATCTTTTGAATTGCAGTTGGTTAAAAAGTAAGCTTTGACGAATGCAAACAAGGGAAGTGAATAAATAACAAATCGTATATTCTTCGCTTGATTTTAGGTGAAGCTTTAGTATAATTCGAGAAAAAGAAAACATAGGTATATGGACATATTTTATATATATTTATACAGGAAAAATTTTTTCCC